TGCACCGATCCGAAGCCAGGAGCCAGGAGCTTCTTCCAGGACTCCCACATGGGTGCAGGGGCCCAAGGACGTGGCCATGTTCTACTGCTTTCCCAGGCCATAGCAGAGAGCTGGATCAGAAGTGGAGCAGCTGGGACTTGAACTGGCACTCATATGGGATGCCAGCACTGCAGGCGGCAGCTCTACCTACTACCCCACAGTGCCAGCCCCTGAGCAGAATCTTTAAAGTCACTCTTAGGAGTCAAACTCTGTGATTCTTTGGTTCTTATTTTCATTCAAGCAGAGAATATTTAGAGCCTGGGAGCTGCCAGTTTGGTTTACAGTGAATACCGTTAGTCTGATGATGTTTTGACACCATCACTCTGTGGAGATGTAGAAGAGGCATAAATGGGAGCCTGGGTTAAAAGAGGGTACATCATGTCAACTGCTGATTCACAAAAGAAAACCTGAAAAAAAAAATTCCCTGGCAGCTGAGGAGCATAACAGACATGCGCTGAGTGGAACTGGGTAATTGTCTTTCAGACATCAACATCATTTAACTTCAAAAGGTTACTGTGCCTGAGTGAGTTTCTGTGTGTCTGTCTCAAGACATTGGGGATTGTGCTTGATGATAGAATGATGACTTGGTTTCACTTCTTTTAGGTTACTGGAAGGACACAGTGATTACCAACATAGACAAGCTGATGAGATGAGATGACATGGCTTAAAAACATGGTAGTAGCATTGTAATGTCTTCATTCCATTCATATAGTACCTTTGTCTTGAAGGTGCTTTATTAATAATAACATTGAGAAAATAAGCCATTTTAAAATGTCAAAAATTGGAGAGTAAGAAAAATGGCTAGGAGAAAATCCACAGAAAGGAAGTAGTGGGACCTAGTGATCACTGCTCAGAGCAGCAAGGTAGTGACTCCCACTGAATTCAGTGTACTCACTAGTGGTGCTGGGAATGGGTTTAGTGCTCGCCATTCTGCATCCTGCGGCTGTGACAGTAAAGATGATGGGCTTTGCTGTCAAATGGACCCGTCCCTGATGCTCCTAGCTGTTGGATTGACACAAATTACCTAAATATTCTTGACCTCAGTTTTTGTTTTTAAATCATTGAGATGGTATTATTTATACTTGCTCTGTTAGGATTTTCCTGAGCATTAACATAAGTGAATTGTAGAAATAAATAGTTCAATGCCAGGCACATGTAAATGCATCATAAACGCTAGCAATTCGTATGCTCTGAATGTGTCAAACTGCAGTGACTGGGATGCAGTTATAGGTGTTAGCAGCAGTTTCTCTGTGGTTCAAAAAACGAAGCTTCTGGAATGGTAAGAAGCTGCATTTACTTTCGTTACTTGATTTAGTAAAATATAATCTGTACTTCACAGAGTAGCATTAGAATTCTAAAATGAAAATACAGCGACTATAGATAATAATCATTCTTTGTATATTGACCACCAGCTGAAGAAATAAAAAGTCACAGAATTGAAATAAAGAACCATGTTCTTCTCCTTATCCCTGGCCCCCAGGAGATAAGCACTGTCCTGGATTTGATGTATCATTTCCTTTTATGTCTTTCTCTTATAATTATTGTTTATCTATCAATTATTTTTACATATTTTGAATTTTTATATACATATTATTATATATTCTTCTGTAATTTGCTTTTCTCTATATTGTTGCTGAGATTTTTCTGTTATACTTACAGCTTTATTCGTGTATTTTAACTTCTATGTAGAATGTGATGTTTTATGAATGAATATACCATTTTACTTTGTTTTCTGCTAACAAATGATTACCTGTCTCCATTTTTTTTTAATTATTTATTTATTTGAAAAGCAGAGTTAACAGAAAGACAGGGGAAGAGAGAGAGGTCTTCCTTCCACTGGTTCACTCCCCATTTAGCTGCAATGACTGGAGCTGTGCCAATCCAAAGGCAGGAACCAGGAGCTTCTTCCGGGTCTCCCACACAGGTGCACCGGCCCAAGGATTTGGGCCATCTGTCACTGCTTTCTCAGGCCATTAGCAAGAGAGCTGGATAGGAAGTAGAGCAGTCAGGACTTCAACCAACACCCATATGGGATGCTGGCACTATAGGCAGTGGCTTTACCTGCTATGCCACAGTGCCGGCCCCGTATCTCTAAACATTTCTTGGTGCCTCTCACTGCCACACCTCCTCCCTCAGCCTAAGAAGTAATTAATAACCTGCATTTTGTTAATATTTGGGGATTTAAAATGGTTTAAATATCCTTATCCTTAAACAATATATTTGAGGGGCCACTGTCTGCAGCACCAGTATCCCATGTGTGCACTGGTTCGAGTCCCAGCTGCTCCACTTCCTAACCAGCTCCCTGCTAATGTGCCTGGGAAAGCAGCAGAAGATGGCCCAAGTCCTTGGGCCCCTGCACCTGAGTGGGAGACCCAGAAGAAGCTCCTGGCTTTGGATCGGCTCAGCTCCGTCTGTTGCAGCCGTTTGGGGAGTTTACCAGTAGATGGAAGACCTCTCTCTCTGACTCTCCCTTTCCTTCTCCCTCTCTTTAACTCTGTCTTTCAAATAAATAAATAAATCTTTAAAAAAAAAAAAAAAAAAGGCGTGTAGTTAACATCCTCTTCTATGTCTTCTTGAACATATGAGTTGAGTTTCTCACAAACATACCTAGGGATGAAATAACAGGGGTGTAGGTAATGCATGTGCAAGTTTTTCTGGATATTTATATGTTACTTAATTATAGTTTGCTGAAAGACATAATTTTTTTATTTTTAATTTGACCCAAAAGTATAGAACTTTTGGTTGCTGATTTCTACCTTAATTGCTCTTTGGTCACGTCACATTCTTGGTATCGTATGAAGATTTTTGTATTTGTTGAGCCTGTTGCTGTATATCCTAACATAAGTGGCCAAAGTTCAGCGAAGTGTTAGTTTTCTAAGTATTCCACATGGGCTTGAAAATGTATTTTCTAACTATTGGACATTGGGGTCTATGTGTGCTTATAAATCTCTAATTTTGCTGAATGTTTTGTTTGAGACAGTTATACAAGTATCCTTTATCCAAAATGCTTTGACCAGAAGTGTTCAGATTTCAGTGTTTTTCCAATCTTGGAATGTTTGGGGTCCAGCCCTGTGGCATAGTAAGCTAGGCCTCCATCTGCGGCATTGGCATCCCATATGGGTGGCCGTTCATGTCCTGGCTGTTCATCTTCTGATCCAGCTCCATGCTTATGGCCTGGGAAAGCAGTGAAAGATGGCCCAAGTGCTTGAGCCCCTGCCCCCTGGTAGGAGACCTGGAAGAAGCTCCTGGCTCCTGGCTTTGGCCATTTGGGGAGTGAACCACCAGATGGAAGACCTCTCTCTCTGTTTCTGTCTCCCTCTCCCTGTCTGTAACTATCCCTCAAATAAATAAATATTTTTAAATATTAAAAAATAATAGAAGGAATTGTTGCATAGACTCCCCCAGCTGAACATCCATAATCTAAAAAACCCAAATGCAAAAAAATTTAAAGTGCTGGACATGGCACTTTAGTGGAGAATTGCACACCTGACTTCACTGACAAGTTACAGTAAAAATGCTGGCACACTAAAAATAATATTTAACACATGAAGCATGAATTTAGTGTTTATACTTGGTCCTGTCCCCAAAATCTCTCATTGTGTGTATATATGCAAATATGCCAAAGTACAAAAACACCTGAAATCTAAAGTACTTTTTGTCCCAAATATTTTGGATAAAGAGTATTCAGTTTGCATTATGTAATAATCCTCTGTATCTTTGGTAATACTTTTTAACCTTAAAGTCTATATATCTGATAACATATATCAGCTAACTGGCTTCAGCTATGCTGGCTCTCCATTTATATTTGCCTGCTACATTTTAAAATATACTTTTGTGTATTTTAAATATTCTGTGTCCTCATGTTTATACTTTTAGTATAATGTTAGTGAATTGAATGTAGCCTGGGCTTTAGTCTGAGTTTTCTGCTTTTTTTGGTTTAGTCTGTTTACATTCACTACCACTTTTGATATATTTATGCTTATTTCTACATTTTACTATGTGTTTTTTGTTCATCCTCCTTTTTTCTGTCCTCTGTTGGTTTGAAAAGCTTTGCTTTGTTTCTTTTTTCCTTCTACTGGTTACTCTTAAAATTTTTTACATGCCTCTTTGATTTTGCAAAGTTGAACATTAAAATCAGAATGTGATTTTATTCTATTCATCTGAACAATTAAAGACCTTAGAAAACTAACTCTAGTTGCTCCTACCAATGTCTGTCTGTCTTAAAGATTTATTTGTTTTTTTGAAAGTCAGTGATGCAGAGCAAGAGGCAAAGAGATCTTCCATCTGCTGGTTCACTTGTCAGATGGCTACAGCAGCCAGGGCTGGAAGCTAGGAGCTTCATCCAGGTCTCCCAAACACTTGGGCCATCTTCCAGTGCTTTTCCCAGGCCATTAGCAAAGAGCCAGATTGGAAGTTGGGCAGCTGAGACTTGAACCAGTGGCCACATAGAATACCAGCATCACAGGAGGCAGCTTTACCTGCTGTACCACAGCACCAGCCCCTGTGTGTGTTTTTGACCAGCGTTTTATTTCCATTTTTATTAAAGATTTATTTATTCTATTTATAAGGCAGAGTGACAGAGACAGAGGGAGAGACAGAACGAGATCATCCATCCTCTGGTTCGTTCCCCAAATAACTGCAATGGCTTAGGCTGTGCCAGGCTGAAGCCAGGAACTTAAAAGTCCTCTGGGGTCTCTTACATGGGCAGTAGGTACCCAAGTACTTGGGCCATCATCTGCTGCATCCAGGTGCGTCTTCAGGAAGCTGGATTGGAAGCACAAAGCAACTGGGACTTGAACCAGGCACTTGATATGGATACATTTCCATTTTGTTTTATGACCCAAGTTAGTCTTTATTATTGCTGTTGTATTTAATTTCTATACTAATTTATATTGTTTTCTGATACTCACAAGAGATTATGAACTCCTTATATTTAAACTGGTTTTCTCATTCTTCTTTAGATTTTCAAAAGAAACAACCAGATGATGATTCCGCTCCAAGTACAAGTAACAGCCAATCAGATTTGTTTCCTGAAGAGACCACCAGTGACAACAACAATACCTCGATAACCACACCAACTCTTAGTCCCAGCCAGCAGCCGCTTCCGACAGAACTGAATGTACCTTCACCGAATAAAGAGGAATGTAAGTGCCCAGATTCTGAGAGGTGGTAGCAGGAGCAACCTAGGAACTGTGTCGTGAGTTTCTTGTTACTGTCTAATCCTAGAAAACAACCACGGTTCTTAGACGTGTCCCCAGACACAACAAGTTCAAGAAGTTTTAGCCATTATGTAGAGTTTAAGGTCTTCTTTAGGGATAGCTTTTTATATTAACTGTCAAGGTTCACGAGGTTTTTGAATCAGCTAGGGCAGTGGCTCTCACCCTGGCTGCACATTGGAATTCACTTGGGATTGTAGAATAATTTTGAACTTCAGCACTGTTCTCTGATTCCAATTTAATTGGTCTGGAGGGAGGCCCAGGAATCTGTTCTTTTTAACTCTGTGGAGTATCAGTCCCTTTCTAAGGAGCTTCATTGTGATGTAGAAGCCTAGACTTGAAACCCTTACCCCTACCTACCTGGAAATTGACTCTTTCTTCTAAGTATTTCGCTGAGATGATAACACTGTGTAGTTCATGGCATAGGCTGTTTGAAAGGGGGTGGAGATGGTTTCTGTTATAGTCTTTAGTGATAGAATCCTGTAATGTGTGTGATAGGGAAGTCCCTTGTCTGCTTAACCTTTAGACTAGAAGCATCTCTTTTGGGGCACAACTATAACTGATAGGGTTTGTTGGAAAATATAGGAATATTATGGCTTAACAGTTTCTGCTTCTCAAAAATTTTACTTAAAAAGGGGCTGATGCTGTGGCGCATTGGTCCCGGCATCCCATATGGGCGCAAATTTGATTCCCAGATGCTCCACTTCTGATCCAGCTCCCTGCTAATCTGCCTAGGAAATGAGTGGGAGATGACCCAAGTCCGTGGGCCCCTATACCCACGTGGGAGACCCAGAAGAGGCTCCTGGCTCCTGACTTCAGCCTGGCCCAGTCCCAGTTCTTGCAGCCATCTGGGGTGTTAACCAGTAGATAGACTCTCTATTTCTCTGGCTGTCCTTTTCTCTGTAACTCTTTCAAATAAATAAATAAATCTTTTTAAAAAAACTTAAATTTAGTGTTTCAAGCTTGGTGAAAATCTAAAAATGTGGCATGTTAGAATATTTTATTAACTGGCCGGCGCCGCGGCTCACTAGGCTAATCCTCCGCCTAAGCGGTGCCGGCACACCGGGTTCTAGTTCCAGTTGGGGCGCCGGATTCTGTCCCGGTTGCCCCTCTTCCAGGCCAGCTCTCTGCTGTGGCCCGGGAGTGCAGTGGAGGATGGCCCAGGTGCTTGGGCCCTGCACCCCATGGGAGGCCAGGAAAAGCACCTGGCTCCTGGCTCCTGCCATCGGATCAGTGCGGTGGGCCGGCTGCAGCGCGCCGGCCCTGGTGGCCATTGGAGGGTGAACCAACGGCAAAGGAAGACCTTTCTCTCTGTCTCTCCTGCACTGTCCGCTCGGCCTTTGCAAATAAAATAAAATAAATAAAAAAGAATATTTTATTAACTTTGGAAAGATTAGCAGAGAAAAATATTTACCTAAATCTATCATGTACTACTGTACTTCATAATATTGAGAATATAAAGAAGGTCATAATCATGGTCCTCTAAGAATTTTACTGTTTAGCAAGGGATAAATATATTTGTTCTAGTGTATCAGTGAATTTTAACCAGGAGTGATCCCTCTTCTGCCACCCCTACAACATCGATGGTATCTGGAGGCCAGGGAAGCTAAATGTCTTACATTACATAGGACAGCCCTTCACAGCTAAGAAATATTTGGCCTGACATGGGAATGCTGAAGTTGAGAAACCATTGTCCGTGTTCGTGTACACTCACGTTAATAGGCCTTATGTATTTTATTTTATTTTATTTTTTATTTTTATTTTTTTGACAGGCAGAGTGGACAGTGAGAGAGAGACACAGAGAAAGGTCTTCCTTTGCCGTTGGTTCACCCTCCAATGGCCGCCGTGGCTAGCGCGCTGCGGCTGGCGCACCACGCTGATCCGATGGCAGGAGCCAGGTACTTATCCTGGTCTCCCATGGGGTGCAGGCCCCAAACACTTGGGCCATCCTCCACTGCACTCCCTGGCCACAGCAGAGAGCTGGAATAGGCCTTATGTATTAAAGACAGTGACTGGCGCTGGGTTGAGTCCCAACTGCTCCACTTCAATCCAGCTCCCTGCTAATATGCCTTGGAAAGTAGCATAAGATAGTCCAAATCTTTAGGCCCCTGCACCTCCATGGGAGACCCAGATGAAGCTCCTGGCTCCTGGCTTCAGCCTGGCCCAACCCTGACGGTTACGGCTGTTTGGGGAGTGAACAAGCAGATGGAAGAAGTTCTCCCACCCATCCATCTCTATCTCTTCTTCCTTGTCTATCTGTCTGTCTCTGCCTTTCAAGTACGTAAAATAAATCTTTAAAAAATGAAATAAAGGGAGACTGTTGAAAAAGGGTATAGGTTTGGTATAGGAAGTCATGAGTAGAAAGTGATGCAAAGACTCTCTTAGCAGAGTAGAATAAGCAGTGGAAGAAAGCTGCATGGAGTTCCTTAATGGCAAGTGACTCCTTTAGGGCCACCTAGGGAGGAGAGTGGAGGACAAAGCTGAAAAGGTAGATTATGGCCAAGCCATAAGACTTCAATGCCTTCTGTTTGGACTTTGAATAGTAGCCATGTTTATGAGCCAAGAAAGTGATAATACTACAGGATTTTTTGTTTGTTTGTTTGTTTGTTTTTTTTAAGAAGTAACCTGGCAGTACTGAAAACAGGAAGAATTATACTGGCAGAGAGAATGTTAAAAATGTTATAACTTGGGGCTGGCACTGTGGCATAGTGGGTAAAGCCGCCTTCAGTGTCGGCATCCCATATGGATGCCGGTTCAAGTCCTAGCTGCTCCTCTTGTGATCCAGCTCTCTGTTATGGTCTGGGAAAGCAGTAGAAGATGGCCCAAGTCCTTGGGCCCCTGCACCGGGGTGGAAGACCCGGAGGAGTCTCCAGGCTTTGGATCGATGCAGCTCCAGCCATTGCAGCTAACTGGGGAGTGAACCAGTGGTTGCAAGACTCCTCCCTCCCTCCCTCCCTCCCTCCCTCTCTCCCTCTCCCTCTCCCTCTCCCCATCCCCCTCTCCCTCTCCCCCTCCCCCCCTCTCCCCCTCTCCCCCTCTCCCCCTCTCCCCCTCCCCCCCTCTCCCCCTCTCCCCCTCTCCCCCTCTCCCTCTCCCTCTCCCCCCCTCTCCCCCTCTCCCCCTCTCCCCCTCTCCCCCTCTCCCTCTCTCTCTCTCTCTCTCTCTCTCTCTCTCTCTCTTTGCCTCTCCTTCTCTCTATGTATAACTCTGACTTTCAAGTAAATAAATAAATCTTAAAAAATATATATATTATAACTTACTCAGTAAAGGTCAGGATAGGTATAGAAAGTTATCTTAGAGGAGGAAAAAATGGTAGTGATAATATTAAAGGCAGTAGATTCTGATTTTGTTTTTTTAAAAATCTGAGGTCATGTACTTAATGGAGAGAGCTGATGAAAGCTATGATCCTTATAGTCTTAGAAAAAATACACACCACCTATTTCTAACCAGTTTTGCATAAAATTTCAGAAACGTTCATCATGACCTTTAGGTTAAGAACTGATTTAAGAGAAAATTCGGAGCTGGTCAGCATCTTAACCTGATAGAACCCAGATTGGAGCTACGCCTACCAGGATCAGGACACAATAAACAATTCAGGCACCAAAATGTGTGTCAGACTGAGATAATAATAGCTACCATTTATTGAGCATCTTAGCATTATTCTACATGTTTTATCTATGTATCTATTTGTTTGAAAGGCTGATTCTTTGGTGCAGCACATTAAGCCACCGTTTGGGATGCCTATAGTTATGTTTCTTGACCCAACGAAAAGAAAGGATAATGTTGGGTTGTGGTTGGAACACTGCAGTCAGTTGTTGTGTTGTGCTTGCTCCAAGACTTTTCTTACAGACTTATTGGAAGATGAGGAAAGTGCTGAGTTCGTCTCTTCTGTAAGTCAGCTTTTGTTGGCATGCTCTTAAAGGCTTGGACATCCCTACTTAAGGACCTGTTGGGAGCCTTTATTGTACATGCCCATCTCAACTTTTGCTTCCCCAACCCTCATCCCAGGTCCCACCAACCTACTGAATGGGAATGGAGGTGTTGGAGAGACCTTGGCTGGTTTGTTTCTTTCTGCCTGCTGTGGGAAGATTAATGGCAAGAAATTAGCTTGTTTTCAGATATTCTGACATTGTAATCCAACAGGATGTAGCTCAGACATAGTGGTCTTGGGAGTGGTCATACATAAACTCTTGGGAGGAACGTATTAATTAGGTAGCAACCAGCATTTTTATAAAATAATAGTTTACAACAGGGGTTGGGAAACTATGGCTCCTGGACCAGATCTCTCCCTTCTTCCTATTTTTGTAACATTCACAAGCTAAGCATGATTTTTACTTTATTTAATGGTTGAAAATTATCAAAGGAATAGTATTTTCTGAAATGTGAAAATTATATGAAATTCAAGTTTCAGTGTTCGTAAATGAAGTTTTATCAGAGCACATGGACATTCACTTATGTTTTGGTTATGGCTGCCCTGTGCTACAAAAGCAGATCCAGACCCAGTAGCTCTTCACAGAAAAAGTTTGCAAACCCAGCTTCACAAATTACTTTGACAAGAAGCCGGCGCCGCGGCTCACTAGGCTAATCCTCCACCTTGCGGCGCCGGCACACCGGGTTCTAGTCCCGGTCGGGGTGCCGGATTCTGTCCCGGTTGCCCCTCTTCCAGGCCAGCCCTCTGCTATGGCCCGGGAGTGCAGTGGAGGATGGCCCAAGTGCTTGGGCCCTGCACCCCATGGGAGACCAGGATAAGTACCTGGCTCCTGCCTTCGGATCAGCGCAGTGTGCTGGCCGCAGCACGCCGGCCGCGGCGGCCATTGGAGGGTGAACCAGCGGCAAAGGAAGACCTTTCTCTCTGTCTCTGTCTCTCACTGTCCTCTCTGCCTGTCAAAAAAATAAATAAATAAATAAATTACTTTGACAAACATGTT